CCAGGTCCCTTATTAGTTGTAAACGCATAGATATTAGGAGCCGTTACTTGAGATTCTAATCGATGGATTGTACCCCTTCTCAGTGACTTGTACCCTCTAGATAGTTAGATATTTTTGTCCTCCACAAGATGGGTTGTGTCCATAAGACATAATTCAACTTGGATTTGTGGTTTTAAGTTATTGATGAAATTCCCCAACAAAACATTTACCGTGAGGTCTCTAAATGAGGATGATAGGATTTCGAAGGAGTGACGATACTCTCTTATAGTTCCTTCCTTCCTGATAGCGTGCTAATAATTCTTCCCAAGACATTCCCCATAACGTGGATCGAAATTGACCAATCAAGAAAACCTTCAATTTGGCCCATAGTGCAATCGAACAACGACTATCAGTCCATTGAAACCAAGCGAGGGAATCCGCTTCCATACAAATCCTTCTTGTTGCCACCTTCTCGGCCTCTTTGAATCGTTGGAGTGCAAAAATCTCTCAGCCCTAAAAATTGACCCATTAGGGTTGTTTCCGTTGAACGTCGTTAATTCAATCCTCCTAAGCCTCCAATCAGTAGCGTACACTCCATTGGCCGAGTTTATCAGACCACGACTTCCCATCGATTGAGACAAATTGATGCGGAGAACCACGATCCCTTTGACATTTCCCTTTCAATCCACTGCCAATTCATGATGAATCACCATCTATTGTATTAGGCATGTTAGGCGACTTTCCTTGTCGCCTCCAGGATTCCAGTTTCTCCATCACCATCTAGATTTCTTGATCAAGCCCTTTCATTCTATTGGCGTTTACCAAATCATTTGGGTGTTGTTCTTCACTGATTGGAGACCAAAGTTGTCCCGTTCATGTTTCCCTTCCATCGCCTAAATGGTTTCTTCCAAGATCGATGCTCTCCTTGAATTTTGGGTGCCATTGGCTACCTGAATTTTAGGCTCTAATACCAAATGCTAAATGCCAAGGGATTGTGATTGAGTTGTAATAGGAAATCACGATTACGTGCAAAAATTAGCGTGGATTTCGAGAGCCAGGTCCTCTCTCATAGAAAAAATGACGTCCCCATCCATCTTTCATTCCCTTATACCGACTTCCAACCAACTCAAGTCAGAATGGAAAAAGACTCTTAAATATAATTGTTTGGTAATTGTTTACAGTCCCCAACAGAGCAAGCGAACGATATATTATTTGGATCTACAAATCTTAAATACTGTAAGAATTTTTTAGCCTTGATGGTTTGTAGATTTAAAATGAGCATGATGGGTGAGATAAGTTTCTTTTTAGGTTTACAAGGTAAACAACTATCCTCAGGTATTTTCATTTGTCCAACAAAATATATTTCTGATATCTTGAGGAAGTTTAATGTGGAAAACTGTTCATCAATTAAAACACCTATGACTCCTAGTTCAAAACTACATGTTGATCCATAAGGTAAAGTTGTAGACCAAAAGACCTACCGAGCCATGATTGGTTCTTTAATGTATTTAACCTCTTGTAGACCAGACATTATGTTTTCAACACATCTCTGTGCTAGATACCAGCGAGATACCAGAAAGGAGTCCCATCTCAGTGCTGTTAAACGAATCTTTCGCTGCCTTAAAGGGACAATTAATCTTGGACGTTGGTATCCAAAAGATACTGGTTTTGAACTGACTGCTTACTCAGATGCAGACCATGCAAGGTGTATGTTAGATAAGAAGAGTACTTCGGGTCACATACAGTTTTTAGGAGACAAACTGGTAAGTTGGGTGTCAAAGAAGCAGAGTTGTGTATCTACGTCTACAGCCGAAGCAGAATATGTAGCTGTTGCTAGCTGCTATTTTCAAGTTTTATGGATGCGCACTCAGCTAAGAGATTACGGTTTCTCACATCCAAAACTGCTTGAGTAGACACTTGCAACAGTTCCTTCCTCAAGTTCTTTCATGGTATAGTGTTCAACCAACACTACGATTTCACAATGGTGATCTAGAATGAGTTGGCGGAGTTAGTTCATGCTAAGAAGTTCACCCCCAAAGCTCAGAAGTTCAGTCCCTTTCAACGATTACTTCAACTGATTATACGAGCAATGATGCGGTCAAACAAAGCTATCCCCTCTAGCCTAGATCGACCATAAGGGCCAGACTATGAGATGCAATTCTTACTACCACATATCGAAGTTGAAGATCTTGATTCGATCATGAATATTCCTGATGAACTATTAGCCTATGCCAATTAGAGTTCTCATTGTGTTAGAATATAGGAGCGTTATATATCCTATAGTTCAGCCAGAACCGGCATAACTTTCCCCGGGATCACCCCATGTCTCAGCCGACCGTCGTGAGGGTTTAGCTGTAGATGAGAGAGTTTAGGTACAAGGGTACTTGCACAGGGTTGTGCGATGAGGGAAAATGTAAATGAGAGGGGTCTGGCGGGGGGACACTATGATCTGGCACAATCTCCTGATAACAGTACTTCTACTTCAACAAGTTCAGAAGATACTGAAACTGATTCGGGCGTTCATCCAGGAAATGATAATGATAATGATAATGATAATGATGATGATCAAGGTGATTAAGATGATCAAAATGTGGACGGGGCTGAATTATTAAACTTACAAGACATTCCAGCAACGAAATTGATTTCATCGAAGAACTTCCAACTTTTGAATTTGATGCTAAAATTGATAGAATGTTGGATGCAATAAGGATGGACGAGGGAGTTCAAGTAAAAAATTCTGAGACTATGAGTGATAGGGAATGAGAAAAAGATGGGGGGTGTGAGACAGGAACAGAAAAAGAAGTACAAAGTTCCCACATATATTGTTGACATTCATTCGTTGAATGTTAGCATTGAAGAAGACGTAGCCCGCCTAGCTATGAAAATGCACCCCTCTCCCAGCCACTCTAACACCTCCCAACAAGTGTTAGTTTTAGATACTCACGGGGATATAGCACATAATCTATCTGTTCCTCACTCGTAGGAACAAGATATTGAAACAAGTAGATTCCAACCCCACTCTACGACTTCTATTGTGTGCACATCGAATCTAGAGCCGATACACTTACTAGGTACACAGGAGTCCAGAGCATCTGTTGCTCCATCCACTGTTCCTAGTGAACTAGCCAGAACGACCGGAGTAGATTCATCTGACTTTTTACGAGGACAAGTTGGAAGTCCTACCATTGCTAATGATATTCCAACATTGAACTAGGCACAACAGTTTTCTCAACTGTTGTTACAATTGGCAATTTAAGTGATCTAGGTGTTACTTTACCAGACTTCGTGTCAAGGGAGTTTCTGAACGATGCCCTAAAGGCTGTTCAAGATTCATTAATAGAGATAAACGGGTTAAAGCATTTACCAGAACGGAAAGCAACCGGCAGAAAAACATAGTTGTGCTCCGTCGCCACCATCTGCACCTCAACCTCAAGCAGAACCTAACTAATCGGTGGATAACCTGAAGTTTATGTTGTATGCTAAAATGATCTCAGAACCGAACATGAACTCGGCGGACGCAGACTTAGTCGGGATGCTACGACAATCTTTAGAAGACTCTCAAACCGTTCGAGCCTTAGAGTTTTCTAATTTCCAAAGCGTTGTAGTCTCAAGATTGTCAAAGCTTGGTTCGACAATTGCTACATCTACCCTATCAATTAAGAATTTGCAAAATTCCATTGATCTTTTGTCCGAACGTGTTTCAAATTTGGAAAACACTTGCCAAGCACAGGCCACTACACTTAAACGAAGGCATGATGATTAGGACGATCCTGATCACCATAAGGGGGATGAAGAAACAAAGAGTGGTTGTTACCTCGAGGAGTCAAGGAGCGGAGTTGGTTGATCGTGAAGAATCTGATTAGCTGAATGAGCAAAATCCTAGTCAATCTGAGGAAAGGATTACAGGTTTGGAGACATAGTTGCTACAGATCCAGAGATCGAGTCGATGGTTGAAAAGCCGGAGATCTCCACAGTAGAAACAACGTTGCTATTGGGTCTGTCTGCAAACGTTGGTTTTAATGACGTATTCTCAAAAGAAATTGGTGGAGTTCAGGATTATGCTATTGAACCTGAAGATGGAGCTGGTGATTCAAATGATTTATTATTTGACTTTGAAGGTGATCTAAATGATGATGAGTCAAGCTTTCCATTTCAGTCTCAACCTAAAAGAAGAACCTGAACCAATATTTATAGATCCACCAAGCATTCCCTGTACATCTTCTGTTCCACAAAATACAAGTGTTCAACCTTGGAGGAAGTATGTGCCATTCACAGAAAAGCTCAAAACTCCAGGGTGGGAAAAATCAAGAATTAAAGAACCTTATCTGAAAGACCTGTATATAGACATCTTTATTCGTCATTGTAAAGCGCTAAGTTATGAGAAGTCTTGGGTGTTCACAAAGGAACCCGTGAATATCACAAGAATACAAGTACTTCGTTAAAGCAAAACGCCAACCTATTCACTTTGTACGAACGAAGCACTGGATTGTCGTGATAAAGAATGTGGAAGCCAGAAAGCTTGTAAAAGTGTGGTATCCAGTGTTCTACGTCACCGAACAAGGTAGTAAAGTTTGGTACTTCAGTAAAGTTGATTTTTATTCAAGCTTTCATATATCTTATATTTGTCACCCCTTATCTCTATCTTTCTTTCTAGAATCACCTTCTTTCTTTCTTTCTTTCTGATACCAAATGATAAGCATTTCCTAGTGTTGGTTCACCATTCAAGGATACACTCGTATCAGTGATTTCATAGGACTGATGATGGCAAATAAATTTGCATGCTTTTAAACCAAAAACGCCTAGTATATCTCACCTGACCCCTACCCTAACCCAGAGAGTCGGATGACAAATTTGCAAGCTTTTAATATGTGGAATTTCTGGTTTTTGATGTTTATCACCTCTTTTTGTGTTTAGTATGCTAGAAATGTCGTCTACTTGCTATTATCTTCAGTAACATGCCTCTCCTATTCACTTTCTGTTTTTCAAGATTGGTAGCTCAGATGCACTTTGTTTTCTTGCAGAGACGCAGTGGAGAACCACTCCGCGTTTACATGGATCTTGAGGCTGGCCGAAAAAGATCTGGTTTTGAAGACATTTTCATCAGTTATCATGCCAAAGACGATGTTCAGTCAACTTATGCTGGTGGTCTCTATCATAACAATCGTAATTATTATCTCTCTCCCTTCAAGAACAATGTAAGTACCATACCACTACCCTGTCATGAATAAAAATCACCCATCCTACTCATTATTACTTTATTCAAATAAAAAGTTGAATTAAATAAATGCATATCAAATAAAATAATGATGTGTTTTCACATGATTGGTGGTACAGGGAGGCGGTGATTTCCCTTCCCCGTGATGCCCTGTGCAGTGTATCTTTTTAAACTAACAATAACATACATAAATTTTATTTCAGGATACTCTTGTTTACTGGTCTTCCTCACGTTGTCTTCCTCAAAGAAATCAGCTTGCTAAGAGCATACTCGGCTTGCTGTCGCATCATTCTTTTGGTAAATGCTTGAACAATGTAGGTGGCCTCGATATGGCACTCTCTCTCTATCCTCAGTGTGCAAAAGATCCAAATGCATCTCCACATTGGTGGGATCATCTACACTGTGCCATGTCTCACTACAAGTTTGTTCTTGCAATTGAAAACACGTATACCGACAGCTACATAACTGAGAAGCTGTTTTATGCCTTGGATTCTGGGGCTGTTCCTATATATTTTGGAGCACCAAATGTGAGAGACTTTGTACCTCCGCATTCTATCATTGATGGTGCCAAATTTAAGTCGATGGAGGAACTGGCCACCTATGTTAAAGCACTTGCTGATGATCCAATAGCTTATGCAGAGTATCATGCTTGGAGAAGGTGTGGTCTACTGGGCAACTATGGGAATACACGTGCAGCCAGCCTAGACACACTGCCGTGTCGCCTCTGTGAGGCCGTTAGCCGAAGAGGAGGCAGAGATGCTCAAGCCTTTTGACAGATTCTTTCTGACGTTTTGACAGAATTTGAGGTATTCTTAAATTATCAAAACTATCAAAATACTTTTCTCCTAAATAACCCATTCGTCCTTCGCCCTGGGTGGGTAACATATTTCATATATGACCTGGTTTTGGTTCAAAGATTTGGTTTAGGAAGAAAATAGTAGGGATCTTGGGTTTGAGATAGTCAGTTGCTTGGCTGTTCACTTCATGAGATTAATCGAGGTGCGTGCAAGCTAGCATGGATACCCAATATCATTTTAGTGGAATTATATGGAGATGACATAGTGTGTTTGAATGTATCATAAATCTTGGTTTGCAGATTTATGTACATGAGTTATGTTGACAAATTGTGCATCCAAACAATGGATTTGGTAATTAGAACTCTAGTTTTGATTCAATTTGCTATGTACAAACTTATGCTTATATTGGGTTTTATGATTGTGTTGTAGATTAATACAAGTTTATGCTTAATATTGGGATTTTATATGATGTTGTAGATTAATACAAGCATCTGCATGGCCGAACTTGAGGATTCTTTGAGATGCATAAATGGTTCATCCAAAAAAATAAACCGTATGGGTTAAACAGTGTGGTTTTAGGATTAAATGGTTTGGTTATATGGGTTAATTTTTCCACCATTTTGGGTCAACCCTATAAGCCCTTTTTCTATTATGTTTTATGTTCTATATTTATAAACCATTTTTTGATGACATAGATCGCGTTTAGTTTATATTTTTTTGTATATTAGTCTTTTCTGCCGAATTCTTTAAAATACACTATATAAGCGAGTCTCGTTGATACTTTAGTTGATGAATTAATTATGTTTCATGAGAACTAGTTGAAAGATTAGTTGAGGTATATAAAATGACCAAAAAGGACGGACATATTAGAAAATTAGTGCATTAAATTTTTAACATTTCATAATATATTTAAACAAATCACTAAAAATATAATATTTTTAATTAATACGAACCCGAAAACTAAATGATAGAATGTGGATTAGTAAAATTTTAATTTGATTTATAATATTACAATTTTTTTATAAATATTAAATAATGACTTTAATAACCATTACATATGATATTATAATATAAATACCAACAAAGTTGTTGGTTAATGTCTCAATTAATTAATAATTTCTCAAAAAATAATAATTAAATTAAATATATTTTTTTAAAATATTTATCAAAGTTTTATTATTTGTGAAACAAAAGAAATATATTTTATGTTTTATGTAATTAACAAACATTTTTAAAATTATTATATTTATTTTTTTATGACTAAATATATCAAGTAAAAATAATAATATAAAAAATAATTTATAAGATTAATAACAGTTCTTTATAATTAATAATAATGAATAATTTACAATTAGTTATTGAATTCATCGTTTGAGCTCATAATAAATTAAAAGTTGCTTTCAACCGAGATCCTCAAGCATATAAAAGGAGAAGACGTAGGAGTAAAATCTCCAACATTGATCATTTTCTCGATGTCTTATCTATTTATAATTACTAGAAATAGGAATCATCAAGTCAAGCTCACAAGCTCAATATCAGATATGTCAATTTAGAGTACATAAAAGAGAAAGATACCCTTCATATTCTCCAAATAAAGACAAAGAAATAGATAGTGATATAGGAGTCCATTTGATCTCTCACAATGAATAAAACAAACTTGAGACAAGAATCTGCTTTCTAATCCAAACATATAGGATGAAAATCAATGGTGTTCCTTCAGAAAAAATCAATTTTGTAGTTATCGTATATCAAGTTTCCTTTTCAGTACTTGTAATTATTATTGAATAAAGAAATTTACATATGGAGGACCATATTGGCCTCTTGCTTTCCTAGACTAGATTTCCATTCAAGTAAGAGTTTTCTTATTTACATTTAGGGAGAGATTGTTAGATACCCTTTTCATAAAAGTGTAAGTAAGAAGCATCTTACTCTATTAAAGATGACTTAGTCTAGAAAGCATCCTAGAACAAGAGCTCAGATACACAGGTCAACAAGAGACAGAGCTACTCAGGTACAGAGGAGTACCTCACATACAAAGTCTGTACACAAGCAAAGGAAGATCAAGTCTTAAGCGTCAAAAAACTTAAGAACTTGATGCAGAGCTACCACTACAGACACAGAGCCTCTGCACTATACATGTTGAGTCTTTGGGTCTCCTTCGCCCTTGACTTGCGCACAAAGCTTCCAGCGCATCTCCAAGTGTTTCAACCAGAATCTAACACGTGTGCAGAAATGGTTCCACATTTCAAGGAACATGATGGCTGAAGATTCTGAATACGAAGTCAGAGTTTGAAGCGTAGATTATAGTAGATTTGTGACATCTGTCATTTTTGGGCGTCAGGTTAGCACCTTATAGGATTTTTTATAGAATTATATTAGGATCTAGTCATGTTGATTAGAATTCATTTGACTTAGTTTCCAAAATATAGTTCAGAAAACCTTGTTTCGACGGATAACTGATAAAATTAACTTATGTAATGCCAAATATATTAAAAATACTCCAAATATAATAAAGTTGATATTATAAAGTCCAAATATAATTATAAAAAGTTTTATTTGAATGTCCAAATAATTTTTACGAAAAAATTGGAATTTTGACCTAATACTGATATTTTATCAGTGTTTGTCAATTATATTTATGTTTTTCTGTAAATGGGCCTTATTTTAATAAAAAAAAATATAAACAAGCATGGATTTGGGCTCTAATAAGGTCAACCCATTTCCTTTCTTTAAACTCACATATAAATACCCCACATTCTTTGAAAACTCCCATTTTCATCCTCATTTTGCATAAACATTTCCTCTCCCTAACCTCTCTCTCTCTCTCTAAACCATACCCCTCCAGCCGATTTCATCTTCAAGCATCATTAAAAATCTGTCAATCTTGAAGAACATTCAAAACATCAAGCCGTTGCAAGCAAAAGGTAATATACTAGTAATCTTACCTTTGTATAATATCAAGGATTCTCATTTTCTACACCTACTTCTTGTCTTTGTAATTAAATTCCTGGGGAATTCAAAAGGGGAGATTATACATCAAAGACATGAAAATGTCTTTAAAATGATGATAATCTATGATCCACGATCTTTGAACTCTAAGAAAGTAGGAGAAAACCACATTGCATGTGGAATTTAATCATTAAAAGATGTATTTTAAAAACTGACAGATTCTGTTAGCACTTGTGTCGACTGTATCTTTCAAAATAAAAGTCCAAATGTTCTGATTTTTCTTCTAAAACGTACTTTGATGAGTTATCTTTCTAATGCAACTGGTCTCACTCAAACATATTACGTTTTGAGCCTTCAAGTTCTTGATACAAGATTATGGTGCAAAAAGAGCATTGCTGACATAATCTTGCATGCATCTTAAATCGGTTATATCTTCTTCAAAACTCAATGAAAATGGGTGATTCTTTTTCTGGAAGTTAGCCTTATGTGTTAGCTTTAAAATAAAGTTAAAATAACTGAAAAATGATGAGTTTAGACCCCCCAAATGGCCGTCAGTCGAAGAGTGTGCAATCTGTCTTGGGGACTGTGTCACTCAAAGTTGTAGGGTATTAATGAGTGCCTTAAACCCATCCAAAATTCTTGATATTCGGGAAAAATCTGTTTAACTCATTATTATTGATGTTATAAAAATTTGGACACAAAATGACTTATGAAAGGTTCTTTTGACAGTGATTTGTGAGACTAAAAATTCCAGAAACAGAATTTACATTCTGTCCAAATGGTAACTTTATGTACAAAGGACTTTGATTTTAAAATATATAATTTCTGGACTATTTTTAGAGCAATTAATATAAGTATCAACTTTAATTCATAAAAACTCGTTGGCATTACATAAGATATAATTTGACTTTATCTTTATCGAGACCCGTTAGGTGATCTAATTATTGGATTTCGGACTGTTTAGGAAGGTTAGGGCGGATGTTTAGCGCTTCAAACGTCATCAAGTTCTTGGATATTCATCAGCTAACTTGTGAGTATTCACGGCCCCACTTTTAATGCCTTTTGTTTATATAAACTGGGGGAAAAACATGAAGTTATGCAAACTATACTGTTTATTTGTAAAACTGTTGGACTAAAGAACTGTTTAGTCAAGATTTGTTTATGTCATGAAATATTGACGGTTTTGCACTATGATATAAATGCTAAATTGATGTACTTGAGAGTATGTTTCCAAATAAAGTCCCTGTCCGTAAACGCTACTTGTTAACTCGGGCATGTCCCCAGGCCGTGGTAATTGTGGATAGCCGCTATTGTGTTGACAGTCCCACCTAGAAAGGGGTGCACATTACCTATGTTTTATTAGTCTAATCATGTGGAATTTGGACCACCGCTGAATTAGTACTACTATGAACTGTGGGACCTAAGTGAGTATACGGGCTACTTATGGTCGTTCGTAAAATAATGGGGCACATTGGTCAGGAAAGGCTCAGTAGCGTCTCAAGTTTTAAACATCGTACAAGATTTACGTTTATCGGGTGCAAGTTTATGTATTAGTTTGCAAAGAAATGATTTTTTCATTGTAATGTTTTGTGCATATGAAAACCTGTAAACTCACCAACTCTTTGTAGTTGACGTTGTTTTATGTTTCATGCTTTTCAGGAAATAAGTAAGAATTGAAGTTTTGGAGCAAATATGTGACGACACCGATTAAGTTCATTTTGAAACTTTTGTAAAGAATTATTCTCTTCCAACTTGGTTATGGATGTTAAATTCAAATTTTTGTAAAACTTGAATGGTGTTATTTAATATCTGCTGCTGTGACTCGCTTACCTGTTACATCTCGTGTTTCCGCTTTAACGGGGTGTGACAAGATTCTATTTATAAATGGCATATAAAAGGAGGTCTCCTTCTTGGAAACTAAGAATGTTATAACCGGGTTTCAGACAAACTGAGTTGAGGTAACCTATACGTGATTATTATTTGAATTACGTGATGACATGCATGGTAATTAATTAAATGCCTGAGTGGTATGCATATAAGTGAAAAAGGGGTTATGATGTATATGTGAATTATACATGCATACATGTGATATGAAGCATGCATGATATTTTCATTATTTTAATATGTGAAGATGCAATATCTTCATTGTGAAGCAAAGGTGATTTTAAAATAATATCTTTCACCGCCCAAAACTATTTTATAAGTAAAATAGTCTCCACCGCCTTATGAAAAATATATAAAGAAAGAAAAAGGGATAAGATCCTCTCTTATCACTTTATTTTTGAGAAGAAACCTGTTTGGAAGAGAAAAAGGTGTTTTGTGGCGATGACGAGCATTCTTGAAGAAAACTATTGTTCAAAAGTGTTTGAAGATCCTGTGATTTGCTACGTGTTTTAACCTACAGAATCTGTGTTTGATAAGGTGAGTTTTGATAAACTAAAACCTTTATATTTGTAGTTATATAAACTGTTGGGTTTTGGGAATTTGTGATTTGGAAAGAGTATGGTAAAACTGTTTTCT